ATCAGCCCAGTGGTTGTTTCACGGTATCGATAAGGTATAGGTAAGGCGACAAGTTTACTTACACACGTAGTAGGTTCCCGTTTTGTTGACCAATGAAAACGGTATAAATACTGTATTAGGATCTGTCAAGCAATCTCTCTTTGGTACAACCTCCACAACTTCATGATTAGTGTTACCAACAGTAACTTCTTTAGATTGATTAATGTATCGAATGTTGCAGCTGCTAAAGTTAGGTAGAGTCCAGTTATAGATATATTTGCCGGGTTCAGGGTACGCCCTTTCATTATACTGAAGGAAAGCTTGGTATAGGTGAGTCTCATTCTGGGGGAAAATCTGGATGTGCGATGCCTCGTCAGGAGAGGTGAATTCAAAGGAATGAATTTGTAAGTACTCAATCGAGTTTTCTTCTTCTTTGTAGATTCTCATGAAGTGGTTCTCCAAAGGAGCGATTTCTTCGGCGCTTTTGGGGATGTAGATGATAGCGTCTTCGGTGAAGTGCGACGTGTCTAGTGGCTTGTGTAAGGGCAACGCCATCTTGATGCTGACGTCTTGGGATTTGACTTGGGAGCTCGTGTTACTCCAGGTAAACAGGGTTGACTTTGTGCTTGTTGACTGGTGATGACAATCATAGACAATTAGACTTATGATTGACTTGTATACACCATTCAAACAATGTCGCTCCTCGTTGGACAGACAGACAGACGACATGTGACATGTGAACGCAGATATTAAGACAGACAGACGGACAGACAGACAGAAAGACGGACAGACAGGCAAAGACAGACAGACAGGCAAGGACAGACAGACAGAAAGGCAGATAGACATTGGGACACAAACACAAAAGCTATAACCATTAAAATACATGTAAAGTGAAAGAGGCACACAGAGAGATAATTACCATCAAGTTCATGTAGTCCTTCGTAGTATCGCTGATTTTAAGTCCCATCGATTCAATCGACGGGAAGACGATTTCAGAGCGGCCGTCCCCGAAGTTCATCCCCCCTAGGTCTTTGTACCAAGCTTTTCCTATAGTACTATTAATTTGACTGCTCTTTAACACTGCAAACGGTTCTCCTGCCAACATGGCGTCTTGTATTCTTTTTCCTATTTCGTTCACACTGTCGACTATTGCAAGCACACGTTCCTTTCCCTAAACAAGATGAACGGAGCAAATAGAATCATTTCAAACAGTAAATATAAGGCAAATACGTGGATAATGCCAACAGTATACTGTAGTATTAGCACGGGCACTGAAGATGGTCGTTAACAGCATCTTCAGTGGGTCTTTTACGTCTGATCAGTCTTCAAGAAAATAAGTGCGGTTTTTCCCCTCTTGTTTCTCCCCAAATCCGAAAAGTATTATGGGTATACGAAAGAAGGGAATAAGTTCATATAAGCTAGATCGGAAATAACACATACCCTTTCAGAGCTTGACACCAGCCCTGACAGGCTGTCATTGGATGTGATTCCAGTAATGTCAAACTGAGAGTCACTCGAGTTGAATTTGGYGGCAATGGCGGATGACAAGCCAATTTGAGTCATCGCACTTATTAACGATTTGGACGTGTCGATAACATCGCTGAAACCCGTGTCAGTAACTGGAGCATTTAGAAGTTGGTTCTTGATCTTGTCCAGGATGGATAATCCCATTTCCTGGTAGAGAGAGTTTTAAATGAGTTGAGGATTGATGATCACCATCACCACCACCGTTATCATGAATGATTATTGTTGTACTATCATCGTCGTCATCATCATTATTATTATTATTATCATCATTCTCGTTATCACTATCACAAGCGTTATCATCATCATCATTATTATTATCATCATTCTTGTTATCACTATCACCAGTGTCATCATCATCATCATCACTATTATCATCATTCTCGTTAACAATATATCCAGTGTCATCATCATCATTATTATCATCATCATTATCGTTATCACTATCACCAGTGTCATCATCAACATCATCATAATCTACATTCTCGTTATCACTGCCATTGTTGTCATCAACACCATTTCGTCATCATCATCACTGTCACTGTTATCGCTATCATCATTATCACTATACTTGGCATTCCTATCATCATCATCATCATCACTGTCATTATAATCGCTATCATCATTATCACTATACTTGG